AGACACGTTGATTTCCTTTTATGAAATATGAAGAAGTTAGCAGCCTGCTCTCTCCATCTGCTAGTTTCATTCTGTTATAAATTTATATTTTAAATGTATCCTCATTTGCAGTTGACTTTGGAATCCTAATGTACAGAATTGTTTAGTCTTGCTTAGGTACTTGCACAGATTCATTTCTCTTGGTCCCATAGTCTTAAAAAACGGACTCGATTGACTTCTTGTTTGGCCTTGCTCTGTCACTGAGTGTTTTTAAGAAGTTGTCCTAGAACTCTATTCCTTTGCTTTTGCCTTTACATGTGAACAGCAGCTTAGCTGGGTGTAATAATTTCGGGTCACTTTTTCCACTTAGGAATTTATAAATTAAAACTTCTTTAGGTATACAAATGAGAAGTAGGAAAACCTTCCAAGGACTTCAGTTATGTGACCAAGACTTTAGAATAAATAGGTTTAACATATTTAAAGAAATAAAAGGCAAGTTTGAAAGTGTTTACAGTAAATAAGAAACTGTATCCAATGACCAATGCAGATTTGTTAGGAAGAAAATAGAACTTCTAGACATGAAAAAATGTAATAATTGGAATATTAAAAGAACTCAATTGATGAATTTAACAGCAGGTTAGATGCAGCTGAAGAGAGAATAAACTGGATGATAGATCTAAAGAAATTATCCTGAATACATCTCAGAGAGACAAAGATATGAGAACTGTGAGTTCAGTTGAGATTAAGACAGGGTGGATCTGGTGAGAATGGTCTGACATGTGTTTACCTCTTCTCTAGCGGCATTGTTTTTTGTTTGCTTTTCTGCCAGTTACTGAGAATATCCTATGATGACTGTGGCTTTTTTGTTTTGTTTTGTTTTCTTGAAAGTCCATCAGTATTTGCTATATTTTTGGCAAAATTATTACTTGTAGTATAGACTTATACTTATTTTATGTTCTTGTGGGTTGACTCTTTTGTCATGAAGAAGTTTCTCTCTATCTCTAGTAGTTTTTGTTTGTTTCAGCCTGAGTCTGTTGTGTCTGTTCTTAATAAGGCTCTGCCAGTTTTCTTTTGGTTTGTGTTTGTGGGGTTTATCTTTTCCTAATTGTTTCCTTTCAACTTCCTCACATCCATATGTTTTGGATGTCTTCTTATAAATTATATATAAGTCTTTCTGATCGTTTTTGAAATTGTTCTTATAGTCTTTGTCTTTTGATTGGAGCATTATTCCATTTACATTGAACATAGCTATATTGGACTTAAGTCTGCTGTCTTTTTACTTTCTAATTGTATTGAATTTTTTTAGGATGGTTGTTTAGTATCCCATTTGTCTTCTCTTATTAAATTAGTCATTTGTTAGCCATTTGTAATTATAACTTAAAATCTAGCATTAATTTCAACCTTTACCCTCTTAGTATGCATGTTAGCTCTATTTACTACCTCTCAGTTTATATGCCATTGTTATTTATTTGAATTCCATATTATGAATATATGTATATATTATCCCTTTCAGAACAACTATAACTGTTTCCTAGTTTGACTCATTTTATTCATATATATTCACGTATATGATTTATTCATTTAGATTTATAAAAGTTCCCTTTTTGTTGAATTTTGTTCCTTCCCAAATCTCTGACCTAGGAAAAATTTTCTTTTGTCTAAAGGCTAACTTAATTTTTCCTTTAGCTCAGGTTTCTTGGTAACAAATTTTCTCATTTTCTTATCTGAAAATGTCTGTATTTTGCTTTCATTTTAGAAGTGTGTTATTTCTGGGTGTCAAATTCTACTTTAGCAGCTCCCTGCATTTCTGATATTTTGTTCCATTGTTTTTTGGCTTTCATTGTTTCTTTGAAAAGTCATGTAGTTTCTCCTTTTGAATAAATATGGTTTTTTTTCCTGACTAATTTTAAGATTTTCTGATTGTTTTTGGTTTTCAGTGTCTTTACTGTAATATGCTTTGTATTTATCCTGCTTGTCTTTCTTTGTGATTCTTGGATCTGTGGATTGATATATCTCACCAATTTTGGCAAAATTCTCAGCTACTCTTTCTTTAAAAATTACTAGGTCAGTGAGCCTGTGCCACAGGTAAGATGCAAAGAATTGCACAGACACAAGATTGAGAAAGATAGTTTATTTAAAAAGAGAGAGAGTAGGTGAATTCAAGGGAGAGAAGGGAGCCAGTCATCTGAGGAAAACATGGTACAAGTGCTTGAGACTGAATGCTTTTAAAGCTTCTTTTGGGAAGGGACAGAGCAGGTATTCACAGGAGCTAACATCATGATGACAGACGGCAGACAGATGGTTGGGTCAGTCACATAGAAGAGAATGGCAGGTAAACCCAGGAATTGTTGCCATGGTGCTGGGGTAGTAATCACAAAGGGGGCAGGTAAATACAGGAACCGTTACCATGGTGATGGGTGGTGGTCTGTGTCACATAGTTCACAAAGGGCTGATGGTGATAGATTAGGTCAGCTTGGCCCTTTATGGCAGGAAGACAAATACTTTGGATAAAAACATTTAGTTTGTACAAAGCATGCTTGAGGGATTGCAAGGCGATCATCAGTGACTACCTGCAGTAAACCAGTTCTGTCCCCTGTTAAAATTAGAGAGCAAGTTAAAATAAAATGCTAAAGAAACTTGACAAAACTTAAAATGGCTGCTCTTTGGCTAAAGTTACTCCATTTTGGCGTTTCATCCTTTCAAATATTGTTTCTGCTCTCCCTCCCCCCCATTTCCTTCTGCATCTTCAGCCATTTAAAGGATAACCTTTTCATTGTATTCTCTCTCTCCTACCTTCTCTTCTGAGTTACTAATTCTTTTGTCTCTATGATTCATTCTAGGTGTTTTCTTCTGATTTTTCTTTCAGTTTTCTCTTCAGCTGTGTCCATTCTGTCCAACCCATATACACTGAGTTTTTAATTTGAGTTATTTTATTTTAAAATTCCGTTACTTTGGTTTTTCATACTCACATTATCTGGTTATCCTATGTGATTAAAATTAGTTTCTAATTTTTATTGTGGTCTTTCTCACATTGCTTCTTTTCTAATATTTCTGATTTTTTAATGATTATGCTATATCCTATATGAGCCAGATGTTTATATAAATAATTTGGGATTTACTATAATTGTGTGTTTTTTTTTTTCCAGAGAGAAGTTATTTGCTTTCTGGGAGGAGGATGATATGATATTGAATTTGGGTTATAGAATTGTTCAGCATTTGTCAAAAACTCATCCAGTGGCCCCCTTAAAATTTGTACATTTATTGTTTATAAATTGTACTTAAATAAAGTACCATAAACAAACTTTGAGCTCTAGTCAGTGATATGCATTCTGATGTGTTTAGGGATAGTGTATATTGGTATCTGCATCTAACTTTGAAATGCATAAAAAATAAAATGGATTGAAGGGAGAGATAAATAGATAGACTATGGATTGGCAGATAATAGGTGATAAAGCAAGTGCAGCAAATGCTGATGATAGATTCTAGGTGGTGAGTATATGGATATTCATTGTCAGCATCTTTTAACTTTGTATGTGTGTGAAAATCTTTGTAATAAAACTTATGGAACATATTAGAATGGGATATCATTGTACTTTGTCATACTCTTTTTTTTTTTGTCTTTGTTGATCTTTCTTGAGATACGAGTCAGACTGATACATTATAGTCTCATTATAACACAGACTCCTTTGTTCTGGAATTTGTTGACCACCATCCATGGAAACATATATAGCATGAACCCTTATTCTGCCTGTAACTGGATCCTGTGGCTAGAATCTTAAGGGTGTTAAAGCAAGTCTCGGCAACTTGAGATCAAGACCTGGATTTGTAGCTAATTTACATGGAACCTTGGGAAAATGTCTCCAGTGCTCTAAGCCTCAGTGTCCTTGTCTGTGGCATTACACCAGTCATCTGAGTGTGGGGTTCCTCCTTCCTGCTCCCCTTGAATACAGAAATAGTCCTTAAAACTGATAAGCAAAAGGCAAATGCATTTCACCTTTAAATTCTTGTTTATATTGGCTGGGTATGGTGTCTCAAGTCTGTTATCCCAGCACTTTGGGAGGCCAAGGTGAGAGAATTGCCTAAGTCCAAGGGTTCAAGACCAGCCTGGGCAATATGACAAGACCTCATCTCTGCAATAAATCAAAAAATTAGCCAGTCATGGTGGCACATGCTTGTAGTTCAGCTACTTGGAAGGCTGAGGTGGAAAGATTGCTTGAGCCCAGTACGTTGAGGCTGTGGTGGCTGTGAGTGTGCCATTGCACTCCAGCCTGGGCAACAGAGTAAGACTCTGACACACACACACACACAAAAACCAACCAAAAAACTTGCTTATGTTTTTGGAATTTTATCATATTAAAGAAGAGTTCTTAGGTACAGACATATGAGATAATCCGTAATGTAAAAAAGTTATTATAAATTTGCACAATATTTCAACTTGTCAGAGACTCTTGTTAACACTGACAACCATACTCAGTGGTATCCTGATAAAAGTTGAACAAAAAGCAAAAAAAAAAAAAAAAAAGCAAAGCCCTGATTTGTAGCATTTGCCAACACCTGTATATAATTACTCCCACCGTGACCAACTGAAGTCAACAGTGTGACATCACTGAACATGGAACTGAGAAGATGAGCATAATTGGTTACTGTTGCCTGTACCAATATGTCTTCTCTCCTTAACCAATTTCTGATTTGATGGGAAAAGTTCCAAGTTGTACATTTATAACTGTTTTGTATAACCAATTAAAATATTTGTATAGGTATGATTTGTTTATCTTTGTGGAAAAATTATTCAGAATGTAGAAGTTATTTTTAAACTGCCATTATGTTTTCTGGCTCAATTATAACAATGTCTTTTTTTCCCTGATGTGCAAAAGATATGTGAGTCTGTGTAATACATTCACAAGCTATGTGTTTCAATGGAAAATCTATATTGGCAACGGTCACTGGAAATGTCTATGATGCGGCTGTATAGCGATCTGAGTTTGTGTGGAGTTAAAGGACGTTTTCTCCTTTCTTTTCAGGCATTTTTGTTGCCTTCTTGTGAAATAGCTGTAACAAGAAAAGTAGTTCAAGTGTACAGGAAGTGGATCCTCCAAGACAAACCTGTGTTCATGGAGGAACCAGATAAAAAAGATGTTGCCCAAGAAGATGTTGAGAAGTTAGGATTTTCAGAGACTGATAGTAAGGAGGTAATTTTATCACTTGTCTTTTGAGTTGGGAGTATATATATATATTGCAGCAAAGTATTTTGCTCTTCAGTTAAAGGTCCCAGCCAGTGGTACACAGGCAGGTAGGTCTCTTCCTCATCCTATCTGGTGTTCTCAAGTTGCTGAGTTCGGTGAGGACCTGCCTCGGAGGGGCAGCTTCTGTGCTCTCTTCTATGGCTCCTGATACCCTGGCTAGGGCTGCATACACACTGCAACTTTATCAGTCACTGTCTCGGGAGCGTGTTTAATAAATCATCATAGTTTACACATCTCTATGTGGACTAAAAAATGTCACTGCCTTCTCCTTGTTTAAATAAGCAGTATTGGAAGAAATTAAATTTAGAATGTTTTGGCAGACTTTTGTTGTACAGTGGCCTGTGTCAGAAGCAGTTGGGAAGTTACATGTGTGAAAGGAGCCAAGTGTCCCCTCGCTGAGTGCTGTCTGCCTGGAGGGGTTGCCAGCATGTTAGATAAAGCTGTGGGGTGGGTAAATCTATATTGGAGTGGAACATCTTCCTGAAACATAATGGAAACTTAAGTCCTATTTATATTTTTGGCATACTATTTTGAAATTAATTTAAAATGTTTAAAATTTTTCAGAAGAGACATATTACTTTTAAATATCTATATTAATTTCATAATTATTGTTCAATATTGATGAAATCATTTAAGTAAATATCATGATGTCAGAATGAATAATAGGTAAGCAAATGAGTTGGTCACTCGCTTTAGAGGCCTGTTGTATTCCCTGCCTCCTCTGTCATTGGACAAGCGTGACTCATTCTTCTAGCACATTCTAAGTGCTGAGCTCCATTTCAGTAGCTGAAGGTGGACTGCTGAGCACTCTGCCTTCTGGAACTGGTCTCCTCGTGACTCCTGTGAGTGCAAGGAATTAGGTGTGCAGGTGGTGCTTCTTCCTACTCTGTTAACTGACTGTTCTTCTCTGAAGGCCTCGTCTGAAAGTTCCGGTCATAAGCGATCTTCCAGCTGGGGACGCACGTACTCCTTCACCAGTGCGATGAGCAGAGGGTGTGTGACAGAGGAGGACAATATGAATGTGAAGGCTGGGGCCCAGGCTGTGCTGCAGGTATGCGGCCACCCTTCCCCGCAGTGGGAGTCATTTTGTACATTTTGTTTGTTGGGGATGATGTCATATGAAGTATAGGCATATTTTTAGGACCTAGTAAAGAGCTGCTAAATTCTCATTCTAAGTTTTCTTCTTAATTTCCACCTACAACTTGTAAAGAATTTTTTGTAGTCAAAGAAACATGAGAACTGGTTGCAGTTTTTTTGAGAGGGATTATTGTACAGTAAATGTGAAATGACTAAGATTTAAATCTTAGAAGTATCTTCCAGACACATAGGGGTAGTTATCTGGACTGCAGTTTTCAGGACAAGCTTGGTTATTATATAATCTTATAAATTATTTTCCCCTTAAAATAATCTGTGTTTCTGAAGAACAAGTACTGTTGTGGTAGTTTTTAGATACTTATCTGAATGAATATGTGAAATAGAACTGATGCTATTTGGGAACATTGGAAAGAGCAACTTTGACTATTACTTAATCTTCCCAGAGCTTAAGATTTTTTTTTTTAGTTGGAGTCTCACTCTGTTGCACAGGCTAGAGTGTAGTGGTACACTCACAGCCACTGCAGCCTTGACATTCCGCCTCAGCCTTCCAAGTACCTGGAACTACAGGCACACACCACCTCACCTGGCTAATTTATTTATTTATTTATTGTAGAGATGAGGTCTCATCAAGTTGCCCAGGCTGGTCTTGAACCCGTGGGCTCAGGCAATCCTCTCACCTCGGCCTCACTAAGTGCTGGGATTACAGGCGTGTGCCACTGTGCCCAGCCTGAGCTTAGGATTTTATATCAAAAATGGAGGTTGGGAGATTATCTCAGTGCCCATCCAAGCTTAAAAGTTGTTAGCAATAGAAGTGAAGATACAGGGGACCTCTCATTGCCCTGCTCCCCAACCTCCCACTCCACCCCTCATCCAATGAGTAGTTGTGTCCAGCCAGGCCTCCCACAGGGAGGTCAGGTGTGGAGTCTAGGAAGGTATGGGAATGGCAGGTGTGTTACCCTGTTTTCAGTGTGCCATTTTTCTGTTGTCTATCTCTAGATTGGATTCACTGTCACAGTATCCTTTTTGTTTTCAAGCTAACTAGCGTTTAATATACCATAATCATGAATTTGTTTTTCATTGAAAATTAGCAAATGATACTGAAAGTAACTTAAGAAAACCAAGGTTATTTTACTGGTGCATCTTCAGAGAACTTCAGAGCAGCTCATCAATATGACCTGCATCCCCATCAGAAGTACTTGTGGGTCCTTGTCCTGTGTCCCTCAGTAGTTCCTCCCTACACGTGAGTTACCATCGCCAACCTGCGAGGTTTCTCCTGGGTTCAGAAGTGTGCTTAATATTATCAATGGGTTCTTCAAAACTGTGACTTCATGCAAAATGTATGATAAGACAAACCTTTTTTCCTTTAAGAATGCTACAATGAAATGATGTTGAATGAAACTGTGTTATTTGAGAACGTGCTGTACTTCATTTCACTTAAAGTTGCAGTTTCCCAGAACCTATTGATGGCATTAAGTGAGGATTTACTACCCTTGGGTGAACCAAGAAAAAAGTTTTCTACTTGATTATATCTCTACAGTTTTAAAAAGCATTTAGTTTGGATTTAAATGTTGTTTTTGTTTTTGTATCTAATACCCTGGTCCTTTATTCATTGGGAAGAAATAGCCAAGTAGAGTTTTGATAAGATAGTCATCTTCTAGGGTTGCTTTTGACAAGTATGATTTGGACTTACTTATTTTGCTTGTTTGCTTTGACCTTAACTGATCTGGCACAGTAATAAGAAATATATATGCAGCTGGCATTTTGATGTTTTGTAAAAAGGAAAAGTTAATAAAGACTCTTTATTTTTACTTGAGAATGTACAAAAGTTTTTTGATTCAAATTCAAAAAGTCATATACATTGAATTAAACAATCTCTACTGCAATATACCACCTGTGTTCTACTTTAAAAAAAAATATGGTCACTATGTAGTCACTGCTGCAGTTAGTCAAAAAGTTCTTTCTTTTTTCTTACTCGAAGCCTAGTAAATTTTTAACAATTGATGTTATCACCCATGATCAACTATATCATAGTGCTTATTTAGTGCTTCTCCCTAGAAAATTGGGACATGATAGCTTTTCAATCTTGCAGGATATAACTTTGGAGGCTGCCAGTGTTTTAGTTCACCCACTTGACTTTTGAATAGGTTAGCTTTAGCTTATCTGATCAGACTGCATTTATTTTAAGATGTCTTGTTCATGAATTTTATTTACAAATGTGCCCAAGCTGCTCTGTTTGCTGCCACATCCTTGGAGTTTGTACTATTGACCACAAAGAGATCTGAGGGGCTGTAGCTCTAGGAAGACAGAGCAGGTCTGTCCTCTGAGCCAAGGCAGTTTGAGGATGATGACAACATATCATTATTTTCCTGTGGGAACCCTAAGCAGTGACTTCTCTATGATAGCCCACATCAGGGCTTCTCTCATTTTCTGCTGAGATACTCTGGTGGGAGAGAAGAGTGAACTTGTATCCTCCAGGCAGGGCAGAGCATAGTCAGCTAACTGGCTACACTGTTTTGAAATCTCAGTTTTTATCTTAAGAATTCACGCAGATACTGTATTCTATGGTATGGTATGGCATCTTTCATATGAAAATGCGCTGTTAGAAGGTGCCCGGGTGTCGCCCATATGGCACTGTCTGTTTTTGGCCACGGCTCCTCCTCAAAGTCCTCACCCTGTGGGTGATGCTGGCCCTTCTTCTGTCAGCAGGGAGTTCCCATACTGGGACACTCAAAAGAGCCACAGAGCTTTGAGTAGCCATTGCCTGGCCAGGTGTCCCCTTCTTCCTCCTTCTGCACCCAGAGTTTCTCACCCAGACCCAGTGATCCTATTTTTTTCCTCTTTTCTATGTCTAGGGGATGTTAAAAAGAATTCTTCAGAAGGTTTCCTGACTCATAAAATTTCTAGCTGCAATATTAATATGCAATAGTAATTTTTTTTTCTAGGAAATGTCTTTCTGGTGTCGCAGTATTTAAGTGATTCTAAGGGGTGAACTGAAAAAAGTCTTGAATATGGGTTGGTAGAACTTGCCTTATTGAAACAGAATCTGCCTGTAAATTACTTGAAGGTGGTTCTTTGGTAGAGTGAAATTAGTAACATTAAAGTTATGCAAAATTTACTCAGATTTACATGTTTAATTGTATTTTCTAATATCAAATTGTTGATTTTAAGGTATTTTTGACAAACTCTGCAAATGTCTTTTTGTTGGAACCATGTGTGGAAGTTCCTGTGCTCTTGAAAGAACAAGTTGATGCTTGTAAAGCTGTTTTAATTATTTTTAGGCGCATGATAATGGAGCTTACAATGAATAAAAAGACATGGTAAGTTGATATCACATTGATTAATATTGTAAAACTGGTGTTTCTGTTTTTCAACATAATTAAAATGTTAAAGCTATAATTTAATGGCTTTGCAGAGTTAACAATATAATGATAATCAGCGTTTTGTAACAGTCCCTGTGAATTAGGAAGTTGAGGACTCAGTACTTGGATAGTTCATTCATTTTCATTATTATTCTTAAAAATGTTCTTGAACTAAGATTAAGTAGTCATTTTACTAAATAGTAGCTTTTCCCATTTTAGGCTGTCATCAAACATAGTTTTGTAGAAAAGCAGTGACTGGTGTTTTATAATGTAATTCTTCATAAGCCCAGGAGACTTTGTTAATTGCCCTGAGATGCTGTAAGCTGATTTTTATTGCTTGGAACTTGATGTTTTTAATTCATTTTGGAAAAACAGTTATTTTAAATGATAAATCATCAAACTAACTAAATAAATAGTGCAGTCAAAAATATAGTGGTGTTATTAAAAATACAAAGTGTTTTCCTTTTAATCTTTGTTTCTGCTTGGTGTTTTCATATGTATAATATCCCTGAAGGTAAATGGTGTGTCAGGTTTTTTTCCTGCACCCTGCTCTCATTTACGTGATGTTACCTCACTCCGTCTTATGAGATATTCTCAGTGGTTCTCAGCAGTGGCCCAGAAAACCTGAGTCATTTTCCCTTCCTTCCCCTTCTCTTCAATCATCCAAAGACCTTCTCTTAATTCTGCCTTTCAAGTGCCTCTCAAACCTGTCCTTTGCATGGTCCGTCTGCTCAGCCATCATCCTCACTGCCCACCCGGCTGTGGTCAGTGTCCCCCTCAGTGATCTGCTTTGGTTCTTGGTGCCCAGAAGCTGCTGCAGACCAGTACTGGTTGCACACTTCCCCACCAGAGCTCCTGCAGGGGTCCCATTCCCATGCCTGTGTTTTGGAGGTCTTCGAGTCAGCGCAAATGGCTTTGGATGCGACTGTTTGCAGTGGGTGGGAAGTCACAGAAACAAGGCAGGCATGAGCTGGTAAAGGTTGCGGTCACCATGTCCAGCCCTTTTCTTTCAAAGATGAGGAAAGGGTAGGCCCAGACGAATCCTGGCGTACAGAAAGCTTTCAAATACAGAAACTGCATGTATCAAAATGGTGATCTTGAAATGTAAATTCCAGCACCATCTTTCCCAGACTTTTAAACATAGCCCTATTGGCCAAGTTAAGCAGTTGTGAACACTCTTTTCCTTCCATCCATTAAATAATGACCAGTCTTCTACTATGAAAGTATAGTGGGGAACCTAAGTAGACGTATTGCAGTGATGCACAGTATGATTTAAGCCAAGTTAATTCATGTCTTAATATTGACAGTAATGAGACATGCCGGTGTGCTTTCATTGGAAATAGCTGCTCCTTTATCCCATTGTGTCAACAATATTTGTAATGTTTTCTTCCTTTGAAAACTATAAATTCTGTATACCGTTGTATCAGTAATGCTTTGCTATTTTTGATAATCTTTTTATTTTGGTAAAAATTCTAGAAAATAAGCAATTCTGCATTGCTCTTTAATAATTCAGAGATTTCCAGATAAAAGTATAAAAAAGAAAAATTGTAGAAATAGGTAAAAATACTCACCCCAAAATGGTCAGGAGAGTACAGAGAGGAGCGTGGCTGTTTCTCCAACAGCCTGTCCTGTTCATTCAAGGACCAGTATGTGACTGGCTTTCCTCTCTTCCTTCCTCCTTCTCCTCCTCCCTCTTTCCCTCCTTTCCCCTCTTTCTCTGCTCCTTTCCTTCTGTCCAGTAAATAATGACCAAGCTTCTACTATGAAAGTATAGGGGGGACCTAAGTAGACAAGGGTCCGGTCCTCAGGAGGTTTGCATCCTCGTAGGACAGAGAGATGTAACAGATACACGAAACATTCCAGGCAGTGCAAAGTGCCAGGAAGAAGAGTGGAGCTTGGGAAGAACCAGAGTACTGGGTTGGGTGGGTACCGCTCAACATGGAGGGTGGAGGAGTTATTTTTTTTTGTTTTTGTTTTGGCTTTTTTGAGTTGGAGTCTCACTCTGCTGCTCCGCCTGGAGTGCAATGGCATGCTCACGGCCACCACAGCCTCGTCCTGCTGGACTCAGGCGATCCTTCCACCTCAGCCTTCCAAATAGCTGGAACCACAGGCGTGCACCACCTCACCCAGCTAATTTTTTATTTATTGTAGAGATGAGGTCTTACCATGTTGCCCAGGCTGGTCTTGAACCCTTGGGCTTAGGCAATCCCCTCACCTCCACCTCCCAAAGTGCTGGGCTTATAGGTGTGAGCCACTGTGCCCGGCTGGGAGTTATTGTTATCAGGTGTCAGGGAAGAACTTTCTGAGTAGAACCCCGAATGAAGTCAGGGAGGAGCCCTGGGGAGGTCTGAGGGAAGAGCATTTCTAGTAGAAGGAACAGCAGGCGCAAAAGCCCTGATGGGAAAAAAGGTTAAAAAGGTGGTATGTTTAGGAAGGACAAGATGGTGTCCAATGTGGTGGCATGAAGGAGTGAGAGGGGAGGAGGCAGGGGCAGGCCAGGCCAAGTTGCTTGGGCCTTGCAGATCACAGGAAGAGCATGGGCTGCCTCTTCGTGTGTACTCAAGTGTGACATGATATGATGTCTCCAAAAGATCTCTCTGGCTTCCATGTGGAGAGTATCCAGTGCGGGGGGAGCACTGACTATGGCCAGGAAGGAAGTTGACTGAAGTCAGGGCCACAGCCAGGGAGCTGTCCAAGGTGGGCCTGAGGCAGGAAGTAGCCAATGTGTGATGAGTAAAATGTCATCTGTGTGAATAGATGGTGATAAGGTTTCTGATGGAGCTTCTTGGCACCTGTGTGCCTGTGTGGGACATAGGGACTCCGTGTGCCCCTCCAGGAGTCTTTAATGCTCTCCAAGCCATCCTCCCTCAAGGAGGTGTGAACAAGCCAGTGTTGTAGAAAACAGGAGCAAGCCTTTGTCAAAACTGACAACTTCGGGAATGTATGTGTCTTTCTTTTGTTAGGAAAGATTGTTCTGCTCTGCAGATAGTTTTTTCACCCCCATTTCCTTCCAGAAGATTTTGCATGGGAGTTCCACAGCTTTCTAAGCTTTCATAGGTCCAGAAATGGGATGAACCCTGTGTTTGTCAGTCACTGCTTCGGTCACATTTGTGCCTTTTGATTGCAGGTCCATGACTGTGGTTTTTTCTGGAATTCATGATATCTATTCGCATTGAATTCTTGCGATGGTCTGTAACTGATTGTGTGCCAGGGACTGATCTTTGCTATCTTAAGTATCACAGAACATGAGCAGGCAGTGGTGACACTGAGTACTCCCCCTCTCTCCCTGTCTGACAGGGCCTGATCACCGCGAGTGTGAGGAGTGACAGGCTGTCCCAGCACCATGCCATTTCTTCTCCCAGCTCTCCTCTTCACAGAGTCACTCTCCTGTGCCATGCACATGTCCCCTCTGTGGTTTCAGAATCTGTAGGCAGTATACAGGAATGAGGATAGTAGAGCCCAATGAGGATATATGCTGACAAGGAACTAGGACCAAAAGCAAACAGGGCCAACCACAGAGAGGGCAGGAAATCCCCAGACCTCCTCCCTGCTCCGCCACTGTGAGAAATTGTCGAGGTTTAGCATCACGTGTTTAAGAGCAAATGCTGTTCTGACGCGCAGAGATATGTGGAAAGTATACAGGAGCTATGACCTAGAGATCTCATCTGACCTAGACTAGATGACGTTGCTCCATCTTAAGTTTTCTTATGAAATAGACACAAAGCCAAGGAGAAAGCAGTAAAGATGAGCAAGTGGTTGCATATGACACCTTGGAGGGGCCAGTGATGACCCTCTCTGAGACACAGAAGATAATGTGTTCTCTGTTCCCACAGAATCCAGGGAAAGAAAAGGCGAGCAGACATTCTGGATATGGGGACTATGGCTTAGGTGTCAGAAAGATAAATGTCCTTTGACTATTCTGAATGACTTAACAATTATGTTGCATCTACATTGTTTTATGCCCGCCAAAGCCCTTTTACATAAAACCCCCTTCTGTGAGGGACTCTAAAGACACTGGCACACTGTAGCCAAGCAGAGATGGCAGTGGTCTCAGCTGTGTCCTGTGGCATAGTGTGAGGGTCTTCAGGCACATGCGCCATGCCTGGGAGTGTCCAGTCCCACGCACCCCTCTTGACTGTAAGAGTGCCATAGGTGTCGGCCATTCCATGATGCTGACTGCATAAGGACCGGAAAGTCAATTCCTTTTTTCTGTCACCAAGATGGATAGGAGACCCTATGGGTTAAGTAGATTAACAGATGGGAAAATCCCATCGTGTTGTTAAGGGCAGGTGGGCACAGTTGTTCAGGGACGACCTTCCAGGGGCTGCCCAGTTGGAGAAAACAGACTTGCCTCCTTTTGTGGAAGGGGAGGATAAACGTCAGGCCAGGATGATATCTGTTATCCAGCCTACTGGTGGATGCAGGAGGCATATTTTTAGAACTGTTGTAACATAAGGGAGCTTATTTGGGTAAAATATGTGTTTATTATATAATTGGCATTCAAAGTTTCAATAGTTTAAAATAAAACATGATTATTGATGTTGCTGAATTCTTAAGAGAATTTCTCATAGCTATGAATTAAAGTGCTTTAGAGATGTGATTATTAACATGAGCTTTTATTTTGGGTGGCCCAGGGAACAGATGTTGCAAATACTACTCAGGATAACAGAAGCTGTCATGCAGAAGCCAAAGGATAAACAAATAAAGGACCTATTTGCCCAGAGCTTGGCAGGGTTACTATTTAGGGTAAGTCTGTTTTATTAAAACACTGCAAATGCAATAAATGAGTCAGATTTTGTAGCAAACTCATTTTAATCATTGGGAATTTTAAGAGTAACAATTAAACTAATTTTGCATTTCTAGAAATATAATAGGATATTTTTCTTCTTAGCTTTGTCTTGAAGGATGAGATTCATTCTTTACACTTAGTGCTGGGCTTTCTGGCTTTCTTGCCTCTTTGCTACCTAATTCCTCTTTGGATTTGCCTGAGGGTGGTAGGAATTAGAGGTGATGGCCTCAGTGGAAGGCCATGTAGATTTGACGAAGTAAAGGATGAACAGAAGTGTGGAAGGGGGTAAAAATTCAAGTCATCAGAGTGTTGGGAGTACTTAAAGCCACAGGTCAGGTGGGGCCACCTAGGGAGAGAGCATTTGCCTTAGAGAGGAGGGCAACTGCATGGCCAAAGGAGAGATACTAAGAAAGCGTGGCCCTGAGCTAGGAGGAAAGCCACAGAAGTATGTGTCCCAGATGCCTGGGAAGAGGGTCAGAGGAGAGGCAAGCCAGTGGGCCATTGGCCTTGACAACATGTAGGTGGTTGAGAATGTGCTAGGGGGATGAAGCCCACTTGGAGTGATTGGAAGGAAAAAGGAGAGCTGGACAGTGGAGGCAGCAAGCGTAGTCCAGGCTTCACGGAGGTCTTAGTATGGAAGGGAGGAAGAAAAGGGGGCCCAGCTAAAGTGGCTGGCGTGTGTGGGGCGAGGTTCAAGGTGGGTGGTACTAAGCCATGTTTGCTTGCTGTGGGATGATCTAGTGAGAGAGAACAGGATGGTCAGGGGTTGGGAGAGGATCACTGCAGAAGACCTGGGTATGATGGAGGCTGGGCTGACCTTCAGTGCCAGCAGAGAGCCAAGGAGACACCTGTGCTTCATGCGTCTTATGTAGTGAGCAGGGTCAAGGGTGGGAGCAGTCTGATACTGGATAAACTGCCTGGGGACTCCCAGGGTCCCAGGGTGTCAGTCTACTGTGACATTATTAATGTGTATGGGGCACATGGAATTCATGAAGTATTGTTGCAAAAGAACAGTGTGCAAGGGCTGTGAGACAATGTGACACTTACACAAATAAAGGTGCTAGTCCTGCAGGTAGGCCTGACTTCTGGTGACTCAGTAGGGAAAGGCGTGATGGGCCATAAGCTGGAAGTGACAGCTACAGCGAGGAGAAGCAGACTTCTCTCCTCAGCTGGCCTGCAGGTGGTTTTGAAGAATATAGATTTAAAGCAGATCTAGAATACAGGTAGGATAGGTATGGAAAGTGACAAGAAGAGAAATTATTTCTTTAAAGCTAAATATTCCCATTGTAACCCAAGAGAACTCAACTGTTCTCATGCATTTTGAATGATTTAATATGATTGGATGCTCTTGGCTTGATCACAATGTCTGAGAGGCTGTAGAAGCAATCAGTCTCCTGAATCGCCTTTTTTCCAATGACCTTCCTCATATCCTGTCCATGTGAAGTGGCCCTGCACATTCTTTTGCATGGTCCACTGGCCACGGATCACGGTTCTGCTGCCTGCCTGGACACACAGACGTCTTCACATTGCTCTCTCTGTGAATGTCTCACTGTTGGCACCTCCCATACTCCCAGTCTTGGGCCTGAGCTGTCAAGTGGACATAAACTGAAGCCATTCTAGGACTGGAGGGGGCTTGGGCTTCATTCCTACCAGTTGCCTGACCCTGCATCTGTTGGGTGTGTTGGAATTAAAGAGAGAACTTTGTTGTATTTTTTGGTTTGGTTGGTTTTAGTTTTGGGAGAAAAAAATTCTCATGAATGGAGAAATCTTATCAGGTCTTGAAGATTAGTTTTGAGGTCATGCTTCTTAATGACTATGATGTCTTTGTTTTTATTTTGGCAGTGGTTGGGTAGATCAAGAAAGATGCTTAAACTGAGAATTAACCATAAAAAGTATTGATGAGAGGATGAACTTTTTGGAGTTAGATTCCGGGTTCTGATCTCAGCTCTGCCACTCCCTGGCTATGTGAACTTGAGTACATGACTATACCTTTCTGAGTCTCTTTCTTAGTCTGTGACAATCAGGAAAGAACTTCTTCCTCCTCTGCAGGGTTGTTGTAAGAATCAGAGTGGGTTCACTGGAATTTAAGTCCCCACACAAGGTGCAAAAGGATAAAGAGTAGAACGATGTTGGTAGGCTGGACAGGTTCTCCAGTGGGCATCATTTTGGTCTTATACCACAATTAAAATGTGCTATCCTATTGTTCATTTGGTCATTAGACTGTCTAAAATGGCCAGTTGCTTGATTAAAAAAAATTTTTTTTAATCAAAGAGACTGTTAAAGGGGACAGGAAATTTTAAGTTGCCATTACCCTTGTTTGTCTTTTTCTAGTTTTTCCTTTAGTGTTTATTTTTTTCTGTCAGTAGATTATCTGGGTCACCAAATTTTCTTCAAATGATGATTGAGTTTGACTTAGTTTTAAATATTTACCAAATAATGGTGATTGCATTTTAATTTATTTTTGGTGCATTTTAATGCTTGAAGCTCTGAAGGTATGTCAATAAACTGTGGTCTTGCTATTTGTAATATGAGTCATTACTTCAAATTATGTATTCCTGTTTGTGTGGTGTGTTGAGGGGTAGGAAGTGATTAGTTAGCAAATGTCCTGAAGAGAGTCATTTATGAACTAAGGTTTTTAAAAATACAGCTTGTATGCCGAGATGTCTCTGATGAAACATTGAATTTCAGCACTGAAGGAACCTTAGAGATCCTCTGATCCAGCTCCTATTTTGTTTTATTTATTTTTTTGAATCAGAGTCTCACTCTGTCACCCAGACTAGAGTACAGCGGCATGCTTTCAGTTCACCACAACTTTGACCTCCTGGTGATCTTTTCACCTCAGCCCTCCCATGCCCCTCCAGTAGCTGGGACTATAGGTGTATGCCACCACACCCAGCTAGTTTTAAAAATTTTTTTGTGGAGAAAGGGTCTTGCTATGTTGCTCAGGCTGATCTCAAACTCCTGGGCTCAAGCAGTCCTCTCGTTTCCACCTCCCTAAGTGCTAGAAATACAGGCATGAGCCACCACACACAGCCCCAGCTCTTTTATTTTTGATGAGAAATGTGACTGCTGGAAGACCAAGGGATGTTTCCTAGGTCACAAATCCAGTTAGTGTGGGACTCTCTCTTTCCCTCTTTCTTTTAGGAAAGGGTAATTGATTAAAAGGGCATGGCTTCATGTCCAAAGGTGTCACCCCTCCCCCATTGTGTTTTATGATTTTACTCTGTGGAGTGTTGTCTGTGAATTTTGATGATGATTCAGCAGGTCTGTGTACATGTTGGTGATATTTGCTAAGATGAATTTTACAAGCTGCAATAAGCCATTCTGTCCTTATTTTATGATTAGCCAAAAAAGTGAAGCTATTATAAGACTCCCTTTATAAGGCATCTCATTACACCAGGATATCTGCCTTGATCTGTGAAGTTAGCACTATATCCATACATGAGCCTGAGTTCTAGTAACATAACAGTCTCTGCTCTCTCCTCTTACTCTGCTCAGATTTTATTTATTGTAAATATGTACTTTTATGGTGATGGCCTCAAACTCAGGCCTCAAACTCATTTTGAAGGGAGGAATGTAAAAATTAATAGGCAGAAAATGGCATTTTAGTCATAACAATATTAATAAAGTATTGATAATAAATATAATTATTTTTTCTGTTGCATTATTTTCAAAAAATTTATTCATGTTAGTATCAGATTTAAGTATGAGTGATTAAAATCTTGTTCTGATATACTTAACTATTTTAGTTCTACTTTAACATGTTTACCTTTTCAAAAAGTGCAATGAACATGAGTTGAAACACAGGTAACAGGTGTATTGCAGAAGGGCCACTTTTGATATGACTTTTCAAGCAGTCAGAACAGACCTGCCTAATTATAGACTGATTCCTGTTTCTTAAAGTTTTCCTGTGTTTAAGTTAAAGAAAAAAATTGTATTTTAAAAAATCTATATGTTATTTAGGGGAAAAAAATTAAAAAGCGAATTCACCCACATGCAATTACCTTCCTACAACAGTGGGAGCATATTGCATCTGGGTTGGGCAGAGAGGTTTGCAAGCTGGCACCTTAACAAGTGCATTCGGTGGATCCGGCGGCAAGATGGCGACCTGGCAACCCGGTGTCTGAAGCCCTCTGCAAGGGAGATCTGCAGTGGGTCTCTGACTCTCGCCCCCGGGAGGCTGGGGACCCCAGCATTGCAGCCTGCTCCTCAGACAGAGCTCGGCCATCGCTATCACTGGAACATCGCAAGGACTGGACATTTTTACTGCATCACCCTCTCCCGCTGCTGCCGCAGCCCCTCCCCCCACCAGAGCTCC